GGGTTTTCTTTTTCTGTTTTTGACCAAATGTTTCGATGCCGAGTTGAATGTGACAGTGAAATGAATGTTTTATAAGGCAACATGACACGATTCGTTTGTGTAAAATGGAAAATGCGCATCAGGCATTTGTATGCATTAGTCGAGTGAAACGAACATTTTATGGCATTAAGTTGCCCCATCAGCAATAGCAACAGCAACAGTACCAACATGCCCAACTGTGGGTGGATGGGCTGTGGAATGGCTTTAACACAAATATGCATGTCGGCAGAGGCAAATTCTTGCATAGAATTTCACTTAAATGCAGAAAATGGCACAAGCATAAAACTGCAGCACGCAGAACAAGGATAAGTAGTAACAGCAGCAGCAGCAGCAGAGAGAAAGAGATAGAACCTAGAAATTGTGGCAAGCAGCAGCAGCAGGCAACAACAGTTCTCTGAGCGCTTAATGGTGGGGGGAGGGGGCAGCCAATCCAAAGTACGTCATGAAAATCAGGAAACAGGATATATTAAGTTTGAGGAATGGTCGCTGGGCACACCAACACATATACATATGCAAATGTTGTCGCAGCAATTGGACAACTAGCCCCAAAGCCAGCAACAGCAGCAGCAGCAACATAAAACAGTCGCAGCAGGAGCAGTAAAAACTGCCCCTTGGCCTGTCGCCTGCGACAGTTTTTATTGCAGCCCATAAAACAGGAGCAGCAGCAGCAACAATGGCAACAACAAGGATATGACAAAGTTTTGCATGCGCCTTGGATTTTTATATATAAATGTATTTTTAGTTTTTTTCTTTTTCCATTTCAATTGGTAACCACATTTTCTATTAGTGTAAATATGCAAAGTACATGAAGACATGAGGCTCCACTTCCGTTATGAGCGTAAGCGAGAAATAACCATAAAAATGTTGAATGCTGCTCAAATGTAAAATGCAAAGTATTACTTTGTTGCGGCCTCTGCAATCCATGCCTTTATAGTGGGTGAAGAAGGTGAAGGGAAATGATATTCGCATTAAGGCAATGGCTACTGCTGCTGCAGTTTCTACTTTAAAATAAACACTTAAAGATGTCTTATTTAGTATTTTGTGTGCGCCTCTCGCTTATATTTCATTCACACCTCATTTGAGGAGCGCGGAAATTTAAAGCGAATGTCATTAAATGTAAATGAAAATAGCAAACAGCAAACAGCAAACGGCAAACGGCGAGCAGCAGCAGCAAAAAATATAAAATAACAATTGGGTGCAGACAATAAATATTAGCAGCGTAATTTGCGCCCTACAAACCCCATTTGGGAATGGCCAACAAAGCGAAAAGCTTTTCGCTTTCAACTTTAAAAAGCCAAATGAAACACAGTATTTAATAAGCGAATTGTTTTGATCTGGTTCACATTTAAATAATATTTTCGCATTGGGCATTTTTGGAATGTTTAAAAAAATTGCTGTAGGCAGCCAAATATATTTTTGTAAATATCAAAATATATCAAAAAATCAAAATAAAAGAAGATCCCTCAATTTGTATTACAAAATCAATGTCATAAAGGAAAATGTAAATATTGAAAATTAAAAAAATTGATGGTAAGCCGCTAGTCAAACAATTTACACAACAAATAATCACAGCTTCAAAACAGAAGCTACCCCAGCCCCCTCCACCCACCTACCGCTCTCTTTTTATTTTCTGCAATTTCAATTTTCAGGCTTATTCAAATGAACTGTGGCAACCTGCCGTGTCCACTGCCACTGCCCCTCTTCAGTCACTGCCACAACATGGCTGCCTTTCAAAGACAAATATGAAATATTAATAATGCTCAGCAGCGCGGGGAATGGTTGGACGTGGAAACCAGCTAGGACATTAAAAATGATGGTGTTTGCTTTGGCGAGCTCGTGGCACAGAAAAATGCAAATTTTGTCGGCCTTTAATGCCTTTCACTTTGATTCGAAGCGCCAAACACGACCAAGCGAGGCGAATGCAACACGTGCGCTATAAATCAACTTGTTTACTGTTGTGGCACGCAAAGTTAGCTCTAAGCAGCGCCAGCGAGCGACCCGCGCACCCAATTCAAAAATCAAATCAAAAATAGTTTGAAAAGTTCCAAGTGCTTAACTCTTGGCCAAGGCACTCACCCACACACACACCTACACACCCAACCAACAACAAGGCGACAGACAATTGCAGAATTGTGGCACTGCCAAACTCGGGCTGGTTAACGCGAACAACGCCAACGCCAACAACACCAATGCCAAGGCAGCCAAAGCAACGCGAAGGAGCAACTTTAGTAATTGTCTAGCCCAGACACGTGGGCACCCCCTTCATGACCATTCGATGGATGGGAGGGAGCGGAGAGAGGGATTGGAGTAGAGGTATCAGCTTCATGGCAACGTATCGCATCAAATGGAGTGGCTGGCATGTTGCCGGTAATGAGCAGCCATAATCATTATCGTCGCCATTGTGGCCTCGTGTGTTGAATGCGTTTGTTGCATTGTCTTCTGTTGCTCGGACTGAAATAGCAGAGCATTAGATATGCCAGCCAAGGCACACAGACACACAAAGCAATAACACTATGCAACACAAAACAGGAACTCGAACCATCAAGTGAAAACATAACAAAAATTACAGAATTGAAATCTGTAAAAAGAGCGTAATAAAAGCGAGAGAAAAGCTAGTAAAACTGAAAGCTTGGCTTCCGAAACTGATTGCATCAGAATTTCCTTTATTATTATCGCGATTGCCCAAGGGTTTCCTTTATTACTATACCGAATTCCTGAGGAGATCCTTTGTCATTATACCAATCGCCCAAGGAGTGCCTTTATTGTTATATCGATAGTTCATTTATTATACCAATTTCTTAGGGAGCTCCATTATATTTATACTGATTTTTTAAGGAGTTTTTATTTTATTATTATACCGATAGCCTAAGGAGCTCCTTTTCTATTATACCGAATATCTAAGGAGTTCTTTTATTATTATATCGATTTTCTACGGAGTTCTTTAATTAGTATACCGACTTTCTACGGAATTCCCTGATCATTTTATTGATTTCCTAAGGAGTTTCTTTGTCATGATATAAATAGCTTAAAGAATTCCTTTCTACGACGAACCATCTTAGAATTCAATTGGACTTTAAACTGCAACTGCAAGAGGCATCTTCAATTGCCAATTAATGCTCCCACTATCGACATAGGCATCTTGTTAAGTCAATAATTGAATAATAAATGAATTCTTGTAGCAGAGTGTAAACGGTGACAATCGCGATCTCAATTGCATGGCTCAAGTTTTTCTGTTTTTCTGCTGTGTTTGACGTCGTTTGCTGCAGTCAAAATTTAATTGAATGAAAACTTTTTGTGTCGTCTGTTAATTTGCTTTGAATGAAGTTGAACATGTGTGACGCCGCCGACTCGCTGCAGGCATTTGGCCACACACACACGCAACCACACACACACACACACAACAATACACACACGTTCGACATGCATATGTAAGTACATAGTTTGGAGTTATCGCTCTGTGGGTTTGCCATTTGCGGGTACAAATGTCAACTTGACTTTAGCCACGTGCCTGCTCGAAGGGTGTGTGTGTGTGTGTGTGTGCGTGTTGGCAAGGGGAGTAGGTGTATGTCAAAGGCTCTGGCTGTGGATTTAGCTTGGCCCTGCGCTTGATTATAGTGTTAACCTGCTGAACTTGCAGCCAGGTGCGCCAATGTCAGCTTCCATTCCAATGTCGCTATTTCAATTGCCCGAATGTGTCTGAAAATGAGATAGTTGTGTGTGTGTGTGTGTATGAGTGTTTGAGTGTTTGTGTGTGGGTGTTTCAATTGTTTGCTCAACTATTTCATAGTTGTTAGAGAAATTTGTTTAATGCATGAAGTGGCGGTTACTTGGCGTATACGTAATGTGTGAAGAGCTCTGCTCTGGCTGCTGCTGGTGCTGTTGCTGCTGATGAGCAATTAACAAACAATTGCAACGTTTGTAGTCAAAAAACAAACAGAGTGCAGCAACGATAGACGAAATGCGGACAAGAGCCAAAGAATGACACTCAGCGAAAGCAATTGAAAAAAGGGCAAGCGAAAGTTGCTTGGCTAAGTAAAACAGTTTGACAAGCTGAGAGAAAGGTTGAGTTAATGTTGCTATTATTAAGGATGTAAATGTGTATTTAAATTGGGTTTGAGCTTTAATTATATAGATAGCTAATCTCAGCGTAAAATAATTAATGTGTGTAGAATTATGAAGTATTCAAATGTGTATTAAAATTGGGGTTCAACATTAATTAGATAGATAGGTAAACTAAGCGGTAGACATTTATTGTTGGCTAGAAGTATTAAATATTTAAATGTGTATTAAAATTGGGCTTCAAGATAAGTTAGTTAGATAGGCAATATAAGCGAAAACAGTTAATGTGCATTCGAATTAATAAATATATAAATGTGTATTAAAATTTGAGTTGAACTTTAATTATGTATACAGCTTCTTTATGCATAAGATAGTTAAATTTGGATTGAATTATTTAATATTTCAATCTGAATTTGAAATTAAAGACAGCTAATGTTTTAAAAATTCGGAATTATTCAAATGTGTACTATAATTGTTATAGTTCACGTTAAGTTAGATGGACATCGAATTACAACCTACGACATTTAATGTTCGTTACAATTGAGAATTAACTGAATAATTATAGAATTATTATTAAACTAATCTCAAGTTAGACAGACATCTAATCTAAGCCTTAAGATTTTTAATATACCCAGATTTGTGAAGAGAGCACATGGTAAAAAACTGCTCACATTGCATTCTTTTCGAGGCAGCGCGCGAATTTTTGCTCATAATTAAAAGCTAACAAAAGGCAAAAGTTGCCGCATCGCACCAAACAGAAATGCAGAAACTAGTGGCAGGCACTTAGGTGCAGGGGCAGGGGCAGGGGCAGGGTCATGGAGCTACAGGATAGGCGTTGGAAGCAAAGGGCTGGTTAGTTGCAAGAGCAGTTTGGTTTTGGCTGCTGTTGATTCTGTACTTACCCGCTGTTAAAGCGCTGACAGCAACTGCAGTGACATGCGGTGATGTTGCTGCTGTTGTTCCTGATGCTGTTACTGCTTCTGCTGTTTCTGGTTTTGTTGCTGCTGTTGACCCAGCAGGGTTCGGACTCGACGCCGACAATAATAATTTGGAGCCAGCAGCAGTCGTTGAGTTTGGCAAAATTTCAGATACTTGGTCAGCATCAGTCTGGTTGCTATTGCTGCTACAACTATTGTCAAATATTTGATGCACAGGCGGCTGCACATCTTCATAATGCAAACTATCTGGCGTAATATGCGTGGAGAGCAACGTTGTTTTGCTGGTAGTTGTTGCTGCTGTTGCTGTTGGCTCAGCGGAAGCAGACAAGTTATGCTCATCATCAACGTCAGATTCAAACGATGACAATGTCAGTTGTTGTTGTTGCTCAGTTGTTGTTGTTTGTTCTTGCTGCTGTTGCAGTGCGACTGCTGCTGCTGCTGCTATCTCCTGTTGTGCGGCTGCGTTGCGCTTGCGATTATAGTACTCATAGTTTGCTGGCTTTGCTGCTGGCATCGTTGTCTCATCAGCAGGAGCAACAGCAGCAGCAACAACATCATTTTCGCTGTCATCGGTTGCTGCTGCTGCTGTTGTTGTTGTTGCTGCTGTGACTATGATTTTATCCTCGACCATAAATTGCACTTTTTTGCGCGCACTCGTCGCCGATGTGGGCGTAGGCGTGGAAGATGTTATTGCTGCTGCTGCTGCTGTCGCCGGTGTTGTCGGCGTGGGTATATAAAACTGTGACTTGCCAGACGGCGTTGCAGGCCCCGTGGCATTATCTGACGCTAGCAAAGGGGCTGCTAGCTCCAGTGTTGTAGGTCGTTTCAGTATCGACTTGATGCCGGGCGAGGTTGGTGTAACTGTCAAGACTGTAAATGCATCGGCTGCGTCATTCGACTGCAGCTCAACAAAAGGGGCAGCAGCAACAGCAGTGGTTGCTGCTGCTGGAGTTTTACTAATATCCAAACTCAACAGCTCCTCGGGCTTTTTGATGCGTGGCGGTCGCCTTGGATTGCTAGCTGCAGTTGCTGGCGATGTTGCTGCTGTTGCAATTGGCAACGTTGTTGTTTTTATTGTCGCCTCAGCAGCACCAGCAGTTGCAATGATTATACGCTCGTAGCTATCGCTCACATCGCCTGCATCCTGTTCGCCCAGACTAATGCGTTGTCCAGCAATATTGCTGTAGAACTTGCCCTTCTTCTGCTGCTGTAGCTGCTGCTGTGGCTGCTGCTGTTTCTGCTGTGGTTGCTGCTGCTGCTGCTGGGGCTGCTGCTCCAAATGTGGCACATCCTCCTCCTCGTGCAGTTGCGCATCGGCCACATCAAAATCATCACTAGCTGGCAAGCATTTAGCATTGGTTGTCTTCTTGGTCTGGCAATTGACTGAGATCAGATCGTAGGGATTGACGTTGCAGCGTAAGATGGAGCGACGCGAGCTGCGATTGCTGATTAAACCACTGCTCTGCAGCAGCGACTCATTGTCCTCCATTAGCCAGCAGTCCTGGACATTCTGCACAGGCGTCTTAATCACTGGCAGCGATGCACGCGTCCTTGTCCTGCCCCGTTGCATCGAACTGCTCCAGCTGGCTTTGACAGTAGTTGCTGTCGTCGCTGCTGCTGCTGCACGTGACTTGCTGTCCTTGGTAGCAGTTGGTGGCTCCGCGCTGACAACTGGCTCTGGCGAAAGGAGACGCGTGCGTCGCATCAGGTCATAGGGATCCTTTTGTGGATCCAGTATGGTGGGACGTGACTTCTTTGTTGCGCTCACCACACGCATCGTTGCCGCCAAAGGTCGACGGTTGTGCGGCGAAGCTGATGCCGCGGCTGCAACTGTTGGCAATCGCACAGTGCCACCGATGTTGGCCAGAGGCAGGCGCGAACCTTTGCATTTCTTACATACGCTCGCCTTCTTCACGTCACGTTTCGTGCCGTTCAAATACTCTGCACACGAACAGATCACAACGGCCAGTGTGGTGGCTGTGCCCGGTTCGCCATCTGTGGCAAAAATGGCTGCCGCATGTGGATGTCCGTGGCCGTAGTAGGAGGAGTGCGGGCGTGACGGTATGCCACGCACAGTGCCATAGATCCAGGGCTCCGCATACTTCATCGAGCGCGACAAGGCGGTGGGCAGAAACTCATAGCCAGGCGGTGGTGCGGCTGGTGGCGGTGGCAGTTGATAGCCCAAATGTTGCACTAGATGATGATGGGCAAGATGTTGCTGCTGGTATTGATGTTGCTGCTGTTGATGACTTTGCTGTTGCTGCTGGTGTTGTTGTTGATGGTGTTGCTGCTGCTGCTGCATATGCAGCGCCTGTTGCAGCTGTTGCATTTGCATCGTCTGCATGCTGCCGGCAGTAGTTAGAGATGAGTTCTTATTATCGCTGCTAATTTTGAGCCGCTGACTCCAGGTTTTCTTTGATTTGTCATACATCGGCGTGGTAAGCTGGGGCAGAGAGGAAAGTTGCTTAAGTTAGTTGCAAAAAGTTTTAACTTAAGCAGATAGAGAGACTCACCTTTCATTAGTTGATGTTACTGCTTTTGTGGCTGTTGCTGTTGCTGCTATGCTCATAATCCCCAATTTGAATTAATGGCCTTGATATAGTTTGTCGCTCGGTGCTGGCCAGTCATCAACTGTTGCCTGTCAGCCTGCCTGCAAAAGATATGACAGAAAATTATTAAAGCGCAACGTCCAGCGGGAAATCCGTTTACAAAAGTTTTCATATTGAAAAAGTTTAAAATGCGATTATATGTGACCTTAAATGAAAGGCTGAGGATGCGGCTGGGGTTAAGCAGAGCGGCAAAATAATACAAAAATGAAAAAGGGTGTCGTCTCTGGCAGCAGCTGCAGTAATATTTTGAGTAATTTAATGAGACAAGCCGGCTGCTTAGCTGCTGACAAATAGCTCAGATTACACAATGCCCACGAGCTACATATATATATATATATATATTATTAAAGGGTTGTTCCACAAAGACACTTCGCTTATAAATAAACAAAACAAACCGAGTCAATATCAGCCAACTCCAACAGCTTGTATTATTTTTATTTTTTCTTTTTTGGAATCTATGCCAAAAATATTAATTGCAGCCTTGTTGCTGCTGGAACCCAATCAAGGTTACAACTCAATTTGTGCCCCCTAACTAGACACAAGAAGTGCCGAACAAATCCTAAGTAATTTTGTACAATTTTCACAGCCGAAGAAAATACAAAAAATAATAAAAGTGTTACAAAAAATGCGAAATCAAATAAACCAGTCAAAAGAATATAAACCATGCTCAGCTTCCCTATCACCCACGCTTGTGAAAGTTCTTTTTGAAGCGGTTTTCACTGACAGACTAGAGAGTGAGAGAGAGAGAGAGAGAGAGAGGGGGAGTGAGTGGGACGGATGACTGGCGCGTGGGAAATGGAGGATTGTTGGCGAGCACTTGGTCAATGCTCCTACGCGCATTCACTATTTTTGTGGCTGTTGTTGCTCAACTTTGTTTTCATTTTCGCGAGTGAATTTTTGTCGTCATCGTGACCACTTTTCACAATCAACTGACTGCCCACAAAATCTTTGCAAGCGGCTTACAGTTGAGTTCTAGCATCACTCTCTTGCAAGCGCCACAATATCAAATCAAGTTGGTCTCTGCTCTGTTCAGCTCAGCTCCTTCTGGGCAACGGAACAGGCCGCTCTCAACGCTTGCGGATATTAATCAAAATGTTCTCTGAACGCAACCTCGATAGCGTCCTCGTCTCCATCTTCAACTCTATCTGCGTCTCCATCTTGAACTCGCATCTCCGGCAGCTACTTGAACTGGCAGCTATGTTAGTGTTGCTGTGTTGTCCAGACGTTGGCATACTTTGGCTTAGTTACCGCTACAATTGTTGTTGTTGCTGTGGCTGTTGCTGTTGCTGCTGTTGCTGCTGCTGCTGTTGTTGCTGCTAAAGTTGTTCTTTTTCTTGAGGTGCTCGGCCAAAACACGTAGCCTGCGCGTTGAAAAATGTTGATAAATGTTGACAATTTTTCCGGCAACCACTCGTGATAAATCTAATTTTTCTCTTTTGCTCGCTGTCCACATTGCGTTAGCACCCACGGCATTGTTGTCAGTTAACAGTTGTTGTTGTTGCTGTTGTGACTGTTGCTCTGTTGCAGTTTTGATTACATAGCAGCATGCTCCTTGTTGCTGTTGCCAAGTTTTTGCTCTTGCTGTTGCTGTTGCCGCTGCTGTCGCTGTTGCCGTTGTGTAGGTGTGAAGTAAAATTAAAAACGTGTCATTTTTTGCTTTATCGCGTGACGCCCATTTGGGGAAAATAAAAAAAAACATAAACAAAATGTTGCCATGACCCAGCGCCAACAACAAGCGAGCAAAATGTTTTGAGTGAAATTTGAGCCACTTTGTTTGATGCAGGCCATAGTCGGTTATTGTGGTTGCAGCCAAGCAGCAATGCTGCTTCTAAGGTTGAAGGTATAACAACCAGCACAACAAACACAACAATGTGCCATGGAATTTGTTCAGGCATCCTAAAACTGATCTAACTGAGTGAATGAATGAAGCACTCGAGTAAGCCAGCAGTAAGCAGCAGCAAAGCATGCTGATGAAATGGACTGTAATTACGATAATTGGGCTTGGCGGCCCACATTCAGCATTATTCGGTTGATGTCTGCCCACTAATTGCATTTAATCTTGTTCAATTAGTTACCTATACTAATACCTATACTAATCGCTTTCTATATAACTGTAAGCACGTATTTGCATAACGTATAAATTTTCATTTAAGCGGATTTCAACAAAGACACTCAGTCCGTAATTAAGCGCTTTGATTGTCTTGCTGGCTGGGCTTAAGTCGTTTTTCTTTCACTTCAGTTTGGCACACGGAGCATCATAATTTTTCACGCTCAATTGGCTCAGAGAGAGACAGCGAGAGGGTGGGAGAGAAAGAGAGGGAGTTGCCCATTTCCTTTTGGACAACGACTCCTTTTACAATTTGTTTTTTTTTTTTGGCTTATTTCGCGCTGCATTTGTGCCAAATGCAATTTGTCATTATAAATTTACGTCAGTTTGAGCAAAGGCAACGGCAAAGGCAAAGCAAAGCCAGTCCCAAAGCAAATGAACGAAGAAGAAGCAAAACTTTTTGGCCGCGCTGTGTAAAAAGTACAACTGCATTTTTCAATATATTTTCAGCGTGACTCTTTGGACAAAAGTTTTGCTTAACTTGCTGTTGTTTTCTTTTCTTTTTTTTAGTATGGTGGCAACCACCCACAAAACTTGGCCGCAGATTGATGGTCTTATAAAAAAGTAGTTAACGCAATGCCAAAGTGGCTAAACCGACAAGCTGAGCCAAGAGTTGTCGCTAATTAAGTGACTGTCGGTTAAAGTTTAATATAAATGCAACGAATCATTTGTCAATTATCAACAGTTGAGATATTTAAAATGCAATTAGAACACACATACAAAATATGTGCACAGCACAGATGCAGCTAACCAGACTTTAGTGAAGGATGAAGCTGAAGTTGAATCTGTTTCTGTGGCTGTGCATCATACAATAAGCGGCTTAAAAAACCAGTAATAAGAAACTAATGAGTTAACAACTCACAGCTGGAGGAAGGAGCTGAGGAGTTGGAGGAGCTGCTGTTGACTCAGAGATCAAGGCAAACCAATGTGCAGCTTTGCCAACTAAATGCACATCAAGTATACGCGCTGTGTGCGCTGTAAAATTAACAATTTCATTTAGCTACTTGAGCGAGAGATAGAGAGAGAGGAAGAAAGAGGGAGAGGGAGAGGGAGGGGGAGAGACCATCTGAGTTTATTCAACAAGAAACATTGAGCGTTAAGCATCAGCGATGCAGAGACGACATAATCACCGCTTTGGAGCGCCCAATCCGCGCAAGCAGCAAGCAGCTAAGTACGGCTCAGGTTAAGTAAGCAGGGCGAAAGGGAAGAACATGAGGGAGGAGGCTAACTGCCTGAGTGAAGGGGAGCTACACTCAAAAAAATATAGCCATAAAATCAATAAAGATTTTCTTCTTTTTGGAATCTAAATAAAAGAAAAAGTTCTTCTAAAAGTCAGAAAGACCTGTTTTAAATATATAGTGATTTTCAAATATTTAGCTTTTAATATTCGAATGTTATTAGAGATGAAAAAACACACCGAAAAATAATGAACATCTTTCTCCCCTGAAATTAATAAAGCAAAAATCCTGGTTTTTAGAAATCTGCCTTCTGAACAAGAAGGTAAGTTAGCCATGTCGTTTCTTTTTCTGAGTGTAGTAGCATGTAATATTCTATGTGTGTAGCGTTAAGTGAAAATGTGCAGCAGCTGCTTAAAGTGGCACAACTGACGTATGCAGCATTGAAGCGGGTTGCCTGCCAAGCCATACACCACACACCAGAGATAGAGATGAAGATGGAGTGGCAACAACAACAACAACAATTACGACAACAGCAACAACCAACAGACTGACAGCAGGGAATCCGCTTTATTTATATTGAAATTAATTTATTGAAAATTCTAATGAGTTTCACTCTCTATTATTATTTATTTTTTGGTCAGCTGACAGACTCGGTTGGCCATCAAGTTGGGCCAAATGCTTGTCCACAAAACAGCCAACAGATTTATGGTTAGACATATTAATTTATAACAAAATTGTAAGCTAAATTTCGAGCAGGCGGCAAAGATTTATCTGCAAACAGTGGCAAGAATATGTATATATGTTTATATATGCACGTACAAACTAATTGAATCTGCTGCTTTGTGAAATGTTAACAAGTTTTGCGGGTGGCTTTGCTCGTAGGCATGCGAAACTTTGAAAGCACAACACACATTAAAGTGCAGTGACAAATGCAGCAACAAAATGAACAACAACAACAGCATCAACAGATATTAAATTTTTTCTAACTAACCAGGAAAGAGCAGCAAAAGCAGCGACAACTTTGCTAAACTAATTAAAATGCATATTCTGGCTGCACATAAATGTGAAAAGTTTCGCTATATAGTCTTCTCGTTGTGTACCTGGTGCAAAATGAACGGATGCTTTAAGCAAATATAAATGGCAGTCTCAGTCTCAGTTTAAGCCAGCTGCAGATCCCCAACCAGACAGAGACACGTTGATGACAGTTTCGGTTGAGCTTACTCTGCAATTTGTATAACATGCTGGGCAGTTGGCTGGGCTGTGTTGGCCAGGCCAGAAGAAGATAGAAGACAGCAGACACAAGCTCAACTTCAACACCACACCCTGGGCATTTGTTAAAGCAAAACTTTTTGTAAACTCATTAGAGCAGTCGGCCAAGCATCCAAACAGTGCAGAGACAAGGGGCGAAGGGCAGTTCGCAAGTTTTGTGAAAGAAAACAGGCAGCAACGGTAGCAACAACAGCCTGAGAGAGAGAGAGAGAGAGAGCGAGTGAGAGAGAGAGGAGGACCCGCTGGGCAGCTGACAAACAAAAGGCTGTGCGCCCGGCCAAGACAAACAAGGCAAGTTCTCCTTATGCTGGGCACAACGGCTTACTGTCGCTTTTCATGCGGCTAAACATGCCCGGCGGTGCAGTTGAAATTTTATTTATTGCATTAACTTGAAACCGCTCGGTAAATGTGGGCGGCAGTTGCTTGCTGCCCATAATAAACTTAATGAAAATGATGCTCATAATGAAGCTCACTAATCGACTCCCTGCTCTCTGACTGGCAAGACGCAGCTGCTTCAAGTTTACGAGCTGAGTTGCAAAACTATTTAGTGGTAACAACTAAATGTCATATATACTATAAAATATACACTATCTATACTACTATGCACTAACTGCACGACTGTAAACTATATAAAAGAGATTTCTTACACTTGGAAAAACCCTTGGCACAAAACTTTATGTTTTGCATGATAATTGACAGCAGGAAGTTTGAGCGATTAAGCTTAATGTGTGTGTGTAGTTGCATATATAAATATATATTGTAGAAATTAACATAAGTTCTGCATTGCCGATGGCAGACACACACTCACACACACACAGGCAGACGGAGAGACGGAATGATGTGTGTGTGAAATTGATTGAGTGGAAAATTTAATGTATGCAACATTTTTCATAGCATACTTTTGAGTGTTTGGCAAATTGCAACGCACAATAATTGCAGACATATTTGTTGTGGCTATCGGTGTGTGTGTGCGTGTGTGTTGGTATTTAATTGTCAAGATATACATACAAGCACTCACTCTCACTCTCTAACACGGGCAGGGCAGCTTTCAGTTATTGTTTAAACTTTGTGTTGCTGGCAATTTTAATAATAAAATTGACTTACTGCTACGCATTTAATTATTATGCCTGCAGTTATTTACACACTAGGTGTATGTATGTTGATGTGTACTTTTTTAAATATTGTTTGAGCGCAAATAATTATGTTGGCGTTAAGTTGAGCATAAAACACTTTGCCAAAATTATATGCAATTTAATTGCAGCCAATATGCATACAACTTAACGTATCAAAGTCGATATAGCCACGTTCGTCTGGCTGCCTGTCATTTTATTTGCCAACTAGTCTTTAAATGTTACAGCTATCTTACTCTTGCTGCAGCAACTGCTGCATGGAATAATAATATATTATGTGACTGCCATGGGAGCTTTTGCTGAAAAATAAAATCTCATCTTCATGTGCCATAACTTTTGTCGTAACTTGGCTTGGCTGGGCCTCAACATGAATCCCAAGTTTCAATTTTAAAACGTGAAACTCATATAAATAGAATTTCTCAAAAATAGGATACGCATATGGGTCTGAACTTCTTAATGCCATAAATCTCTCAACTATCAAAGCTCTGATCGTAGCTTTCGTTATAAGACTTCTTATCCCTAACTTGGTTAGATCTGATCCGACTTTCAAGAAGATGTGATTTGGCCTATCGAACCAAGCCACATTTACATTTGAAAACGAGATGATGGCTCAGATAAAAATACTTGTTCAAACCCAATTTTACTTATCCATATTGTTACTCTCTTGTGAATTTACATGCGTATAAATGTTAATACAAATACATGTGGCACGCCCGCTCTAAGTGGGTTGCATTTTTTATAAAAATGAAAATTGCGACAGCAAACCATTTGCAATCGATGCAAAAGTTCAAAGCACACAAATTGTGCATAAATTAAGTGGCACAAAGTGCTTTCTCTGCGTGGACTGTGGTGCTGAGGAGGGTGAGGCGGGGCAGATCGGGGCAGGACGGGGCAGGACGAAGAAGGACGACTTGACATTTCTTGGCAGTTGTGCGACTTTCATTTGACACATGTCAAAATGTTAGAGAACTCAATTAGTCGCCACCGCAAATGTCTGTCAAACTGTGGCCATAGTTTGAGGTTGCATTTGCTGAGTGCGTGTTTGAGTAAGAGTTTTGAGTTTGAATGAGTGTTTTTGAATGGCGGCCAGTTTGATGCCCAGTTTATTTAGGCAGAATATATGTAAATTATTTATGGATTTTGATATGCATATATATTTATTTAAGTTGTACTGTTGAACAAGTCTTTAAGTTCAATTTAAAACAAGCAACAGTTTTTGACTTACAATAATTAATTTAAACTAATTATGAATCTATTTCTTAAAATGTGCCCGCCACTAAACACTAATCGATGATGATGCCCCAAAAGAACGTTGTAAGCTATGCTCAGGTCATAGCCTAAACGGTGGGCTGCTGCTCCTTGCTGAATCCTTGACTCCCCCACTTATAATTCAGTGCTCTCCATGTGCGGATTGGCATTGCGAATGCCCAGATTTTGTAGTTTGCGAAGGCGATGAATTTGGTAGCGCAACTTGTGCTTGAACACAATCTGATTGTTGACCGTCTTCAGTTCGTCGAGGCTGCAACCCTTCAGATTGCGGACTGTTTTGGCCAACAGGGTTTCGGTGATGAAATACTTGGCTTTCGAGAGTCGCATATATTCTACATTGCGACGAGCCAACTGCTCGCGATACAAATACAGATGATAGCCAACATTAGGTGGCTGCTGTTGCTGCTGCTCCGAGTCGGTTTCATTGACAAGCTTTTGATAGCGTGGCATGTTGTAGTTGCAGTGACAGTTGAAGGTGCAGCTGTTGTAGGATTTTATTGCTGTTGATTGGGATTTGCGATATGTGTTTCCAAGATCGTGCCACAATTTAGCTTCTGCTGCTGCTCCTGCTACTGCTGCTGTAGTTGTTGCTGCTGCTGTGTTTGCATTCGGTTTGATGGTCAACACAGCGCTGGCTTGGCTTTTTATACAGAGAGCGGGTTATTTGCCACCCACTACCTGCCACTGCTTGCCACCCGACTGACTGCCTGTTGAGTCCTCTTTATTTTTAGGTCATTGCAACAAGCATGGTCTGTGGCGTGGTCTACCAACCAATATTGTTCTACCTGTTCGGCTGCTGCAATTTTGACTTATGAGAGCCGCCGCAATAAAAAACAATTCATTCTTAATCTGCTTGCCGGTCATAAAGTTTTCGTATTTGCAAACATTTTCATTCTTAATCCGATCACTAATCCGTTCAGGCCATCGGCAACAACTGCAAAAAATCGCGTCTGACCTATAAAAAGATTAGACGCATCAGCATCATCAGCAGCAGCTTCAGCAACGTGCAAGTATTTTCCCAAGCAGCTGACAAGCAACTGCATGATGATGTCCTGGCTGCCCACAAAAGGGTAACTAAAGGCTGCCAAGGATTAGTTGCCGAGCAGCTGCTGCAACGTCAGTTTTTCATTAATGATCAGCCTGCCAAAAGCTGAGGCGAACTGTGCAAACTATGCCACATGAAAATGTTGAATAAATTCAATTCCTTAAGATATCATTTCTTTTTGTTATTCAGGCAGCTTCTTGGCTTATGGCCTAAGCTTTGTAATCCAGCCCGATTTATGTCTTTTCTCAATTTCTATGCAGGAGTTAAAACAGTTTTCAGTTTTAAATCACAAGATAAACTTTTTTCAAACTGCAGCAGCAGCACAGCAGCAGTGGCAGAGTTGAACGAAAAGTGTCGCTGATATTTCCAACGGAAAGTTTTCATTTCCATGCCAATTTTTTCTCGCCTATTTTCGCTCTTTTACATAAACAATCATGTCAATTTCCAGATCAAATAAGACAAAGTTCAAGCCACTTTTTTCCCACACAAGTGAGCAAGAAAGTGCAGGGGGAGTGGAGGGGGGGGGGGGGCTGTGGGGGCTGGACACAGAAAAAGAAGAAAGTGATGAACCTCTCTTTGCAAAAATTATGGCAAACTTTTGCTTTTTAAATCTAACGAAACGAAGCGAAACGAAACGAGCCGGCCAACTTTTCATAACTTGAATGTTGAAATAAGCAATTTTCGCGTTCAACTACACACAGAAACACATACACACCCATACACACACACACACACACAGACAGAGACACCCTTGTGTCTGCCTTGTCTGAGACTGTGAAGGGCATAAAGATTGAAAAGTAATTGCATTGAAGGCAGCTCGTAGTTAAAAATTTATAGACATAGTATATTGAAGCAGAAGCATCTGCAGGCAGCAGTAAAAAATATGATATTGCTGCTGCACTGCTGCTAAAAATGATTGAAAATGCAATTGACCCGCATTTCTTTGCTACCTCTCACCCTTTGCTCCCTTCCCCTAACGTGCTGGTAATTGCAGTAGATATAAAAAGGAGAAATAAAAGCAACGTTTGCTTTCAAATAAAAGTAAATGAAATTTGTGCAAATTTGAAATGAAATCAGCTCTTTAGCCCATTGCTTCAAATACTCATTTGTTCATTGCTGCCATACTTTTCCATTTCTCATTTCCCATTCACATCTCCCATTAGCATTAATAATGATTAGCGGTTTTTTTTGGCTTAGCCACGTGAGTTGAATAGCATTTAATTTTGCTTTTCCTGATGCACATCTCAATTGCTAATTTTTTACTATATGCAATTTGTTCAAATCTTTGCGCTGTTTTGGTCATCGTTTGTTGCAGTTGCAAGGAATTTCCCCCTCATCGACAGCATAATAATATTTGTGTTAATTTAACACACTCTCTCCATGCCACGTCCACACAATATACACACACAAGGGTATAAATATGATGGCAAACATTCCAGAAGAGCAGCAGCTGATATTCTTGGCTTTGCCTTTTGGACCCATTTAATGGCTTTATTTCAAAGCAAATTATTTGCATTTTAAACACACTTTTATATGGAGGTGTGTGTATGTGTGTGTGCCTGAGAGAGCTTTGTCAAATGAAATTAAAACATTCCGAGCTTAATTTGTTGGCTGGTGGAAGAGTGTGGTTTAAAAAGAAGTTAACACAATAAGCTTTGCTGGGCTTCCCGCAAGTAATTATAGCTTAGGGAATTCTATATTTTGGGAAAAACTGAATTTTATTTCTTTGATTTAAAGTTTAATTGTGATCGTTTCTGCTCATAGTCCATAACTCTTACGGCAGAACTAATTGATATATGTCTATATCTGCATTCACTCCCTGCTCGGCTGTTATTCTCGATTAGTCTTTGAGTGCTGACCATCATAATGGAGAACAATCTGGGAGCAGAGAACATCGTGGCAAACTTATCGCATAATCAAAATGCCGTAAATCATGAAATTTGATATGCGGCGTTCATTTGACAGCCCCGTTCGACGTTAATTGCCCATTGTAAAGATGGAATTGGGGGGCGGTGAATAAAATCAAAAGGCAATTAAAGTGCCATTCGATGGCTGGCAAAGCCACTATAAAATGCAGGCGGCATTCGAAAATTGCAGCTGGCAAAGGCGACAATTGCGACGGGCAAAAAGGAAACCAGCGACTTGGATTGCTCCTCTTGAACGGAAGTGAAAGTAGCAGCGGGGATTACCAAAGGTGGGATGCGGCTGGTGTTGATGTTGAGGGGATAGCAATTAATTAAGGCAAACCTCAGCGAAGTTGAAAAAGTATGCAACACACGAACCGCAAAGGCAATGAAATATTGCAATCAGCAAAAGAATGAAAAGCCACCAAATGCACAGAAGAAGAAGCTCTCTAAAAAGCAGCAGTAACAGCAACACCAGCTACAACAGTACCACCAACAGCAGCAACAACCAGCCAGCAGCAGCCAAGTACTAAGGAGCCAGAAGCTGCCTGGCTGCCTGGTTGCTCGGTTGGCGGCACCCGCTTGCCAAAATTAGTTTCTGTGTCAAAAGTTTGAAATGAGCAAGCGCCCAGGCCAAGCTTCACTCAGAGAAACAAAAGACAAATTTTGTCTGGCTAAAAACTGGGGGTGTTCTTTTCTTTCCATACTACATCTTTCTAAAATTTAGAACAGATTTGTTGTAAAAATATAGGTTTTGCGTTTCCAGACTTTAGAAATATTTTCTATAATAAGAAAACATATTTCTCGAAAGAAAAAAGTTTTTATAACTTACTTTTTGTTTCCTGGATGATTTTTATTTGGAAGCGTTTAGCTTTTTATTGTTTATTTTACTATATATATGTGTTTTAAATTGTCACAAATACAACCAAGATTTTTAAATACATTTTTTTCTAAAAAAAGTGAATTTCTACTTTTAAAAATATTTTCTATTCATTAGAAATAATTTATTTCTGAAAACTAGAAAATAAACCTTTCTATCTTTTCTAGTTTTCCTACAATAAAGTGCAAATTTTTATGCGTGTACAGACATTCAGTGAGCACCGACAGCTGAGGCAAGGAAGCCAAGGAAGCTCTCAAAAAAGAATTGCAGAGAAAAAATCGTTGAGCAGGAGGAGAGACAACTCTGGCGACGAGTTGAGCAAGTGCGAGAGGACAAAGTTTGTCGCTGATGTAGTTAAGAATTGGCAGCAAATGCTGCTTAATTTCAAAAGAAACTTTACGTATTTGTCATGCGGCGCACATTCATTGCGGTGTTCATTTGAGCAGAGGCAAGCGGCAAGCTGCAACTGCAACTGCAGCGTTGACGCTGGCAAACTTGGCACCACCCTCCAAGCCTTGAGCTTTTCTCACCAATTTTTTGTCATTGCTTATATTTAATAATTCATCAAAAATCTTTGAGTCTAGCGTTTGTTGCACGCTAATTTGCGGTCATTTGGCCGCATGCGCGTTGGTGTGCCACTTGTGTGTGCCTCATTTCCTGCGGCCGACTTCCATTTGACTTGTCGTTTCCGTTTCCGTTTCAATGACGCTTTGATTGGCCTTGCGGTCGGTGCTTGCCACACTGCAACCAACAAGTGTTAATCATTATGTAGCACAGCGCTGACCGCAACCAGCGCTGACTTTGTGCAGCACTTGAAAAATTCTGATGCTAAAAATACTATACTCAGAAAAAGTCGCCTTGAACGTTGGAAATCACCCTTAAAATTACAAAGCTTTTATTGCTTTTAGAAATAATTTTAGGGGACAAAAATTGTTCATAAAATAAGAAAGACTTTCCCTAAATCGACATCCTAAAAATTCTTTCATTATTATTTTGAAGAGATTATTAATAAGAAAATCATTTCTTAAATGTACAAATTTATTACTTAAGAATATCTTAATTATTTGTTTAAATATTAACCAAAAATATTCATTTGCATATTAGCTGCTTGCAGGCAGCACTTAATAGGCACTAAGTGTTGAGTGTGGGCACGTTGCTAGTTATAATCACATATAACATTGATAAGTTGCTTAAATGTTGAGTGTTAGTGCAAACAGAAAACATTACGTGAGATTATTGCAATTGTTGCTTACCTCAGAGAAATATCTGCGCACAAGTTGAGGGTGCTTAGCTGCTGCAAATAAATAAATTAAAAATATTAATATAATTATTTGATGTGGCGGCACCAGATAGCTTATACTTAATAATGTATACTATGAATTTATGTATTTATTAATAATTTCTTCTTGTTTTTTTGGCAATTCATTTTGGGCACGTACATGGTAATCTTTACACAATTGAATGGCAATGCACACGCAAACGATTATTATTGAAAAAGATAAACCAAAACTTTGCTTGATTGCACGCCTATTGGCGGCTTCATTATCGCTTGACTGGGTGGCAGTTTCTTTTTTGGGGGCGGCGAGTTGGAGCGGTTGGTTTGGGCCGTCAAAAACATTTCCGGGCCCAAGTGCGAAATACGAATTGTGAAATGCATTCGTGTGTGAAAATGATTTTAAAATTGTTGCCTGAAATTGTGCAAAAGAGCGACGACAATCAAAAGGCATTCGAGATTTGATATCTGAATTGTGAAAATTATTATAGAGGGTATTGTGCAGGGGGTATGGGCGTGTGTGGGTGATAGGCTCTACAAACAGCAAAGCACAAAATTTGACAGCTTTTAATTGTGCAGCGAGCCGTGCAAATCTTGTGCGAAACATTCGCTCAAACAAAGCCAACAGCAGCAACAACAAACCATTTATGCAATTACAAAACGCATCATGTCAGGGCCAGAAACTCAAATTGAGATGCACTTGCCGATTGCCCGTTTGTGGGCCAGTTTTATGCCTCAGCTGGCAAAGTTGGTTCACAAAAAAAAAGTGAAAATTGTGTTTAGTACAACTTAGAAATAACAGCTGCAATTAGCGCAGCAAAATTGTTAACGACAAAAAACACTTGAGGCTGCCAGTGCCGTGTGAATTATCATTAATAGACCAAAGTGAGAGCTCTTTTTTCATGCTCTCTCATTTTTCACGTCTTTCCTAGCCGCAGCTTCCCTAATGGCAAGCGGACTGACTGAGTGACTAACTAACTGAGTGACTGCCACAGTCAACATGCAAAGCCCCAAGGCCTTTTCACACATACAGCCAAAGAGAGACACACACGCATGTGTGTGTGCCACACGTTGAGGCTTGTCAGCAGTTCATCAGAGATGCCAGGAGACGTGGCATCATCAAGACGTAGCAAGTTGCACGTTGCGTCTTTGCATAAACTTAATTAAAATCAAATTAAATTCAAGCGATTCCCTTGACTCGCTGTGGCACAACTTGAGCAGGCAGCTTGCCACATTATGCAAATGCTTAGCATTTTGAACTCAACCAGCAACTGTCAGCTGTACTAAAAACTTAACGATGTATAAATCGTTGCTGTTGCTGTTGCTTTTGCTGTTGCCCCGCTATCTGATAAGCTACAATCAAATGCAATCAAACTGAATTCAATTTTATGGCCAGCCAAAGTCAACTTGCTTAGAAGACTCAACTGAAGTGAAGTGAGCTGGAAAGCAGCCAACAACCAGCAACCAGCAAGCACCAGCAACAGAGCTTTAGCTTAACAGCTGCGTCTAAATACAAATTAAAATCCAACTGGGCCAACAGAGCGAAACGTTGCCCCAAAAATCTCAGCCACGGCTGCAACCAGCAATTGCTTACCAAATAATTTGCAAATCTGATTACAGTATAGAAAAGGAAATAAAATTCGTTTAGTAAAAAAATCACTAGGAGTTGCCAATGTGGCTAAAATTTGGCTATTTGCAGTTGACAACCACAAGGCTGACACATCTCTGACAAGAATCAGAAAGTCACCGAGAAAAAACATCAAAGTCGGCCTCAGCAACAAGAGAAATGCAGCGAATTGTGACGCTCAAAGTTGCGGAAATGAAGATGACGACGACGACTGGATGTCTGTCTATCTGTCCGGATGTTGTATGTGAATACCTATACATATATATATATATATATATATATATATATATATATGCTATAGCTGCAGCCCCTTAGCAGAAGTTCAATTGAAGCGTAGCGAAAACGTTTTACGCTGCATGCGATTCATGCAGTTTTGTTAGCACACAAAAAAACATCTGCCCTTGCCACACTTGCAACGCCCGCTGTTTGGGCAACGCTTAGTGGCATCATTGAGTTCGACAACAGGCGGTGGCAACACCGCAGCACTGAGCTGCCGCCAACCGCCAGACGCTTTGTCTGTTTGAACTGTCGGCATTTTATTTTTTCTTCTTTTTTTTCTTTTTTATATCCAACCCTGCATTTTTTGCCTCCATTTCTTGCGCAAGCGGAAACACAACTTGCCAAATTTGTGTGTGTGGTGTCTGTGTCTATGGTGTGTGTGTGCCTGTTTGAGTGTTTGCTTAACATTGTTCGATATTTGGTTGGCTTCTGTTCATTTCTTGACTCCGATGTTTATCTGCAATGATTTGCGATTTTCCGGCAATTTACGCAAAAATATGTGACGAAATTTCGGCAACTTCTGCTACTGCTTCTGCTTCCGCTGCTTCTTCTTATTTTGTGTTTGTGTTAGTGCAACAATTTGGGTTTTTTATTTTTTTGAAATGTCTATCGTGCCACCAACATCCCCTACCCCTCATCCTACCCTTCTTTATGCGTTGCGCGCGTGATGTCAGCCCGAAATTTACCAAGAAAATTAGCGTACAAAAATGTTGATGGCAAATATTTGGATAGCAGCAACAGCAACAGCAACAAAAACAACTAAGACAACAACAACGGAAAAAGAGCATCCCACGCTTTGCAATTCGTTTTACAAATTTTGGGTGATTGGCTTTTTCGGCATTCGCTTGCAGTTAATTGAATTTGAAAGGTGAAAGGCTCTCAGACTGAGGCCTCTCAGTCGCATCTCCGTCCAAAAAGTGAATTTCGATTGCGATAACAATGAAGCATTTGATTCACTGATTTATGGCGCCAAAGCTGTACCTGAATGCCGAACGAACTCCAGGTAAAAGGGCTGCAATTTGATTAGTGCATAACAGACGAACTTTTTTTTTTGGGAAAATTTAATTCAAACTGAGACGAATTGCATGGAAAATAACTTAAACAAAACAATTAAATTGGCTAATTGCACATAATAATAATAAAAAACAAAGAGCTATACAGCCACTTTCATTCTTATTGAATTTAATAAATAAATATAAATCACACTTGCATTTAATTGCAAAAATTAAGTGAATGCAAAATGTAAATCGGGCAGCGAGAAGATAAAATTATTATATGTAAAAAATAATTACTTTAAACAACAGCAGCAGCCGCAACAAATGGCCAAAAGGGAAATGCTCTCAGCTTGGCATCATCATCATCATTATCGTCATCATCACTTTTGTCAGTTGTGTGTAATGATCATGTGATGATTTGATAATTAAAAGCAAACATAAAGCGAAAGAGAAAACAAGCTGAAGCGTTCAAGAAATGAATGCCATAAAAATGCTACACACAAACAAGCTCTAATATTTACCTATACATATATGCATATAAAATATATATATATATAAATATTGTATATATATATATATATATACATAGATATTGATGTCGCACAATTTTTAAATGCCACAAGACAGAAGCTGATGCTGGACAGGATGATTGTGGCTACTGGCCGATAGCAGCAGCAGCAGACTGTGTCCTACGTATCATAGACACAGTTAACAGTAGCCAAGGAGCCAGAGAGCGACGGAGAGGGAGAGATGGATAGTCTGATAGAGAGGGAGAGAGAGGGCAACACGTTTGCTGGCGACAAGGTTTCGCAGTTGATGAACTCAAACAACTCGCAAGTCGGACACGACGCGATGCCAACGCATTTATTACAAACAACAACCCAAAGAGACTGTGATCCGCTTTGCGAGGAGGCCGTTACACATACGTTTACCATTATGCCATATATCTTATTTGTATCTTTGTATCTGTGTATCTGTAGCTTTGCATGTGTATCTGTGTAGCTGGCTACGCACGCAACCGCAACGAAACCAGACCTTGAGCCAGTTTACGATTGCGCGCAAGAATATATATATATAGATATATATATAGACTTATATATATGCGTAGTATGCGTATATATAACCAACAAAAACAGCAAGCGACTCTCAAATTGATTAAACGCTAATCGCAGCCATTTTCTGCAATTATGTGAGTGGGCAGTACACTCAGAAAAACAAAGAGGAATCCATAGGAAATTTAATTTAAAAAATCTGAAATGTTGATATGAAAACTGTTATTTGTAGATAAATATTTTCTAAAATTGAAGCCCTGAAAATTATACATATGTATTTTTCTATATTTTACAAAAATCAAATCTGAATTAAAGCAAAGAAAAATCACATTTTTAAAAAAAGCCGGATGCTCCATTTAAGCAGGGGATGAAATGGGCGAGGCGCAGGTCGAAAAATTTTTGGTGAGTGTGAAAAGAGGTGAGGTGAAGGTGGTTGTGGTTGTGTTGCTGTTGGTGATGAAGAGGAGTAAAGTGGTCAGTTAAGCTTTTGGGCAAGTTTTTGGTTACTGGTGCTGTTGCTGTTGTCGTCTGAGCAATTACGTTGGCGTTGGCGTCGTTCATTGCCTCGTGGCAGCTTTCGTTGCTGGGGCGAGGTGCGTGCAACTGTTAATTGAGTGATGGCCGAGACTGCAGCATTAACAGCAACAACAACCACAACAACAACAACAGCAGCTGATTGCCCAAGCTGCCCAAGCAACATCAACTCAAAAATCTCGTTTGCCTAATAGCCGAGTTCAAGTTGAATGGCTCAATCTCTCAATCAGCCAATCTGGCAATTGATGTGTTTGAGTTTGCGCTTGTGTCGACGTTTTTTAATTAACAAACTGCCATCTAAATTAATCACAAAAATCGCCAAAAATCACAAAAGGAGAAAGCATTAATATTTATACATATACTCGTATGTATATAAATAAATATTCCAGTTAAAATACTTGAATTTTTGGTCAAGTGAACCTAAAAGGCTTGAGGCAAGAAAAACAAAGAAACAACAAAAATCTCAAGCTACATCCGTTCATTAATCTACGTATTATTACACTCGAATTTAGAACACTTTGTTGAAGATAGCCC